CCAGATCGGTTATCAGCTACATATAAAAATACGATATTGTCACTAAGTCTGCCTGATTTGCTCTGCACCTTTGACACAATGCATACGTTTGTACACCATTTAATGTTCCATCACTCCTTACTTTTCAAAGGAACTCATAGACACTAGTATTGATGGAACGTTGGCTGTTGCAGACTTGCGTAACGCACTTCGGTGCTGAAATTATAGCCCTTCTAATTATTCCTCGTCGTTAAAATCAGCTGTGTGGAAAGTGGCCATAATATTGTTCAACTGATGAGTGAAAATGAATTTGTAAAATCCAAAAGTCTTACTCATCTGTCTATCGAGCAGTCATTCTTCCTACTGGGGGTGAAAGACCAACCCACATTAATTAGGATATTAGTTGAGTGGATGAGTCATTTTAAGGCTCCCGTTGGGTGACTGGAATGCTACGCGCAAGCTTATATTGCTTATTGGCCTGTCTCCTTATCCTACTCACAGGAACTTGGCCTGTCTAACGTTTGTTCCAAAAATTCCCAACCCGTTCCGCTCTGAAGACTTTCCTCATGTTCCGTAACTTCAAAATGTACTCGGCTGCTTCATCGAATTTTATTCGTTTGCTAGATTCCCGCATTCCCAACTGACCGCCTTCCATTTACTTTGCTTGTTAGAGATGGCTGCTTTGAAGCCCCCACGAAATTGCGCTCCTCACTAAGATATTCACATTTGAACGGTATCCCTCTATCCATTGCTTGACATGTCAAAGGTCCTTTGATTCCATCTCACACCCTTCGCTTCTTTGCGCAGCCTCCTATTTTGGTCCCCGCACTTTCTTCTACATTACCTAATGTCTTATTACTCCACCGGAATCTCAATCGTCAACGGTCTGCAGATTCACCCAGGGCGTGGTGACCGTCAGAGAGTTCCACTTTCTCCCTTGCTCTTCATCATGGCCCTTGACTAAGCATTGCACACACCATCTGACGCACAGTAGATTTCCACAGCAGGTCCATTTGCTCATATCACTTACGCAGCTGATGTATTATTTGCTTGAGACAAAGTATCCCTGATCGAACGACTAAGTACATTTAGGGGCGAAATGAAGTATCTTAGATTGGCAATAAACCACATCAAAGCGTTAGTATTCTACATAAACGTTGCCGAGAATAGAAGAAATTTGATTATTTTTGACCCTGTGCAACTTCCCTTGGAACCGTCCAGACCCCTCCCCCAGACATCGGAAGCATTCCAGATAACTGAATAACTTTTTGAGTAGAAGGAGAAAAGCCCGTGGAGCTCATTAAACCATCGCAAAGCAGAGCTACAGGAAGCATCTCAAGCTCCACCAGCGCATAGACATCTTGCACACCAATCTTTTACCGGTGGTGCGTTGACGGACCCCCCAACTCATTGTGTACGCTGATCCGGGCAAGTATAAGAAAATGACTACAACTGCCCAAGGACAACAGCGTCACATTCTTTCACGCATCATTAGTGGACTATGGCCTAGGGCTCCCTTGTCCTTCTAGTATGATCCTATTGCTTCCGAACGATAGAATAGGAAGTCATCTTTCACTCCCCCACTCAATTAATAGCTGAGCAATAGGGCCATTTAGTGACTGCCATCTAGCGCTTCACCATATAACGCTGGCTCATTTGGAATCAAGGCGTCTCTGACAAAAGTGACGCGAAAATAGCATGGAAAACTCACTGCTACAGGCTGTGGACGGATCATTGCCTCACAATTAGGTAAGGAACACCGAGAGAATTTTCTAATGACTCTACATCAGAGGGACCAAACTTCGAGCAGTGATGCCGTCGATCCAGGGGAGGACCACTACTAAACGCAACTGATCTTCACTGTTGGAGCGTTTGCGGGCAAAACGCAACACTTTCCTACATAGTGCAGTCTTGCGCAATAACGCACGATGCCTGCTGTAAGAGGCACAACAATATCGTTGGACAACTGACCAACACCATTTGTCGCAAAGTAGCCTAAATTATCCCGGGCCCCGCAGCCCAGTGGCATCAACTTACCTCAAGCCGGATTTAGTCGTCAGCAACAACTCCACGGCATACGTAATGGATGTGACAACATGTGACACCTACGGAATGACCTGTAGCTGTCAAATGAAAGTTAACAAATCCGGTGTAGATGCTCATGCGGAAGCACTATCTCGCTTTGTAGGCTCAGAATTGCTTACGGCATTAAATATTATGTATTATTTGATAATCAGCAACAATCGGGGTCCTATATCCTTAGCCTCCGACATGCACCTTTCGACACGGGTACTCACTAAATTTGACATCTCCGATTTGTGAGTGTCTACGATGAGAGGATCCCTTAAAGTGTACGGCAAGTACGTGCGAAGTGCAATGTAACCCAAACTAACAACGCACACTCACACATTCGCGAGCATTTCCGATCAATATTTTGCGCTTAACTTGATTGCTGTTTCAATATTGTGCCAAGGCATTTGTGCAATCTTCCCGAATTCACGTAATGCTCCGGTCTTGGGGCATGTATCAATTTGCCGACGATAATTCGCATTGCAGTGAACCTTGGTAAATTCAATCACCAGGAACATAGCTGAAGTAGATGGAAGTCGGCTTTTATCAGCCCGAAAGCACTACAGTCCACGACGCGTTGAGGCATTCTTTGCTTTAATCAGGTGGAAATTGAAGGTATCGAACGCGGGACCACTGGGCTTTTGCTTGGAAAGTCCATCACCATAGCCACTAGGTCACCACAAGCAACGCTTGGGATAACGGTTAATGACTGACTGAAGCGCCATTTTGAAGTAAAAGCTGTATGATTGAATTGCAACGCGTAATCTCAATGCAGACCGTAATTCGCATTGGAGTGAACCTTGGTCAATTGAATCACTGGGACCTTAGCTGAAGCAGCTGAAAAGTGGGTGTAACGCGAGTTCCGTGTTTGCTGGAAGTTTAATAGTTACCCGCAACTCCTCTAATAGCAAACCAAACAACCGGTTAGCCCTATGTTTCAACTACCTTTACTTCAAATTCACAACCTACAGGCCACCGTCTTTGTTAGCTTTACCATAATTCAGGTATCTCGTTACTCAGTGGCAAATCCGCTTTGTTACTTGCCGCCTGTGCGTCCACACACAACACAGACCTTAGAGCTGCTACCTATTTGATTTAACTTGTATTTACTAGTGGTTACTCTTCTCCATTCTACCTACACCAGACGGAGTTGAACGAGTTTGCTCAAAGTGCCATCCCCATTATTCTTCAAATGGGGGTCATTTGCTTTTAAGCCGCCAACCAGAGATTACTAATGGGTTGCGCCCGTGTAATCAAAGCCGACCGTGATGGTTGAGGATCAGTAGTCTATTACACAAATACCTACACCTCTGAAATGATGTAGACATTTCTGACCACAATAAGCAGAGAGACACTAGTGGTCCGTTCATTGTTTCTTCCATCTTGAAGAGAAAAATTGCCTGTTGCTTTTCTTAGAATTTTTGGTTCTAACTCTTAATACGGACCCAATAGTCTCAATGACACGTAAAATGTGTACACGGCTGATGGGAACTTGATAGACATGCATTTGCTGCAAGTTCGCAAGGATACGGCTAAAAGTTTCAGTATTAAATCGAAATACTTGTAGCTCGGGTGATCTGTTCAGATTTTGTTCTGTTCTCCGAGCTGAACAGTTCCGTTGCAGACGTTTCATTACCAATCGTGGTGACTTCCTCAGTGCGTTATAAGCAAACTGGTTTGTTTTGTCGATTCTTACCGAACGTATCGGAACTGACTGCTAGACTCCTCAAGCCACACCATCTGTTATTGGCTCACATACCAAGCAACACGCTGAAAGGAACCCTATGTAGACCGAAAGGGAAGACTAGAGCACACGAACGCCGGAACGTCATTTACAAGATACAGTGTAAACATTGTGATAAGAACTATGTGGGCCAAACGGGAAGAAAATTGTCTACAAGGATACAAAAACACAAACGAGCCTGTCGAAACCATTTCCTATCATCCTTGGTCTCGACACACGTTGATGAAGAAGGGCACATATTTGGTTGGGAGAAAATAGAAATACCAACGCAAGGAGAGACCAAAAAAGGAAGAGCATTCCTTGAAGTCTGGTTTTCTACAGTCAGTTCAATAAACCAAAGCATCGATTTAGATTCGATATACAGGCAGCTGCGAGAAAAGAGTTTACGTGGATCATCTGGCACATGAGTCGGAAAGAGGCGTCGCCCACACTGGGAACTAACAATGGTCACGGGACCTGAATCGAACTGAGCAAGTTCAAATATCACTCGCTCATCGGTAAGAATCGACAAAATAAACCAGTTTGCTTATAACGCACTGAGGAAGTCACCACAATTGGTGATGAAACGTCTGCAACGAAACTGTTCAGCTCGGAGAACAGAACAAAATCTGAAGTTTCAGTATGTTTATCAAAGTTGTTAGTTAGGAACCATTTATTCTGCCTTCTGTAGCATTAAATACATAATAAATCTTGTTGACGCATGTCAGTGGTTGAAGAAAAGATGCTGTTAGAGCATTACCTGACAACATATTTACTTAGATGCAGTTTGGCCTCTGTGTTTTGTAACTTTAATTTACGATGATGGATAGTTTGCCAAACGCACTCACTCCTGGTCAATTTATCGTTTTCACATCTTGCTTACGATTAGTGAAGCCCTTTCCTCCGCCATGATATCGAAATTACAATACTCCTACAGAGTCCCATTTACAACCTTACGTCGTGCAATATGAGAGCCCAGGCAATCCATCACATGACTAGAGCGGGTTGTCCAGCTGAGCTGTTTCTCAAATACCTGGATCTATGTGCATCGACACTGGGGTGATTCAATTCAATGTTCAGATGCGCTTGATGCACCCTGTAAACTTGTCCCTCCTACCGATTGATAACTAAAAGACACCTTTCAGAATGGATCTTGTTTTCATGCGTTGGTGTAGTTGCCACATTACTTATTAATTTTTCACCAATTCTCTCGGATTGTTCTCTTCAGAATGTACATAAGTGGCGTCGACTTCATGTCGCTCGATTACGATGGTCGAACAGGACTCCATGTGGCTGCCAGCTGCGGAGCGTTGGATGCAGTGCAGTTTTTCATCGAGGTTGGCGGAGTTGACCCAAACTCGGTCGATCGATGGGGACACACACCTCTCTCGGAGGCCAGGAACTTCAGTCATGCCAAAGTGGCCGAGTATTTAGAAGGGTGAGTTTTATGCCGTGGTTCCTTGCATATGACGGATTTTTGTCCCTAGGGTTTTAAAAGAATAGTAGGCAAACCTCAGAAGCTGCCAAGTTATGAACGCAAAAGTGGCCATTTTCAAAAACGGGATAAGCCTATGATGCGTTCACACTTAACAGCGCTAATATCTGCGGGGCACCCACGAAATACCAAGCAAGCTCTCTGAACACAGTTGATACTGAAGGGTTGGATAAAATCATTTAGATAAGCATTTGCATACTTTGCTCCGAACTCAAAATGACATCAAAATACCTCGTAGTTCAACAGAGCGAGGTCTGTCGAACGACCTTATTACACTGCCAAAACTATCGCGGTAGTTAGGTGGTTTCAACAAGTTGGTTGACTGGATCTCAGTGGATGAACATCCTAGCACAGGGGTTCTCGACCTGGAGGTAATTACCCCCAAAGGGGTAAAATGGTATTTTACAGGGGTAAACAGAATAACAGGACTGAGTCATCAATCAGCTGCCAAACAAAATTAATAGCAAAATCATCTTTATCAATACATGTTAGCAAACCACCTAATCACAAACGATTAGCTATCACTGAATAATCATTAGCAAATGTTCAGTGAATTAGACAATTTTGGACAATAAGTTGTATAACCTAAGTACAAATGCAAGGTTGTAAAGCAATCCAGCTATCTGCTCGGTCGTTGATCGTCGTTCTTTTTGAATCAGGCAGTCGTTTGCCAAGTCGAAGTACAAATTTCATTAGAAGCATACTTCAACCGACCAGTTAAATGTGGGAGCGAATGGTTACAAGGTGGAAGGGACAAAACAGGTGTTTAGCATGCAAGACTTATCGATCCAGAGTGGTGGTGTGATCCTGCCACTTAGGGTGGACTTGGAAGGCATGGTTGAAATAAACGAGAAGCCAATGACATCCGTGGATGTTTGATCAGGCACCACATACCAAAGCAATGAACCGAATGTACTGGGAGGACGATTTACGATGCGCATCAGCCGAAAGCGCACCAAATATATCAGAACTTGTTAGCACTAAGCTATATCAACTGTCTCATTAACGTGCATCACCCCTAGACCATTTAAAAGTTACAAAAGCGTATTATTGGAATTTGAATGGTATAAGTAAACATTCCTCACATCTAGACTCACTCAGATAGGCATCACACGCCGGAACACTTTCAAGATCAGCTCAGCTGGCCCCCTGCTCCCGGAACACATCCTACTCAGGTGATGTAGGACGAGCCATGGACGGTTAGTTTAGAGCCTCCGTCAGAGACCAAGGTCTAAAACGCGATCACAGCCCTCAATCGTTTTAGTGCCGCTGGCCCGGATTCCCTCCTACCCGCAGTATTTAAGGATGGTGGTGAGGTCCTCTACAAGGCACTGACCTCCCTATTCGAAAGCATCTGCAAGGAAGAGAGTGTCCCGGATAATTGGCGCGAATTGATTATAGGGGCCATATACAAGCAGGGCAGTCGCACAGACTGTGCGAACCACAGGGGTATTAGCCTAACGCCAGTTGTGTAGAAATTACTGGCCTCGATCCTCCTTCGTCGCCTCACGGGGGAACAGGAATCTCGGATTAGGGAATGTCAGGTCGGTTGTATAGACCATATATTCACTTTGCGGCAGTTGTTAGAGCAGCACCACGCATACCACAGACCGACAATAGCTGTGTTCCTCGATTTCAAGAGTGTGTGATTCTGTCAACCGATGTATTCTGTTCGAAATGCTTGCCTGGAAAGGTATTCTCACAAAATACAGGAACATCCTACGTGCTCTATACTCGAACACTACAAGCGGCGTCAGGGTCTGCGGTGACCTATCGGATAGCTTTCCGACCTCAAGTGGCATTTGTCAGAGTTGTCCGATTTCCCCATTTTCGTTCCATTTCATCGTGGATTCTATCATGAAGTGTTCCCTTGCGGAATCTCACGATGTAGGCGTTGAAGTGCTGCCGATATCGTCTTGTTTTTCGATGATGTTGCCGTGGCACAATTAACCCTGAATAGCCTGTCCAGATTGGTCCCATTATTTGGTATGCACTTCGCACCTTCAAAGTGCAAAGCGTTGCTGCAGGACCACCAGCCACTTGATGACCCCTTGACGCTTGCTAACGAGGAATTGGAGGTGGTTGATCGATTCACTTAACTTGGCAGCTGCATCAGTAATGAGGCGCGCATAGAAACTGAAGTCAATTCACGCCTTGTCAGAGCCAGAACTGCCTTCTTGCACCTGCGACATAATTGACGACAGAAGGGAGTTTCCCTCCGTATAAAAGACTGTGTATACAAGGACACAATGAAAGTCGTCCTGCTCTATGGTAGTGAGATTTGATCCCTTCGGTCTGAACGTCTGAGGCGTCTTCAAGTCTTTGATCATCATTGTCGGCGAAGCATTGCTGGTATCGGATGGTACCAGCTTTTCCGTAACGATGATGTGCATAGGCGAGTATTAGATAGTGATAACCAATAGCACTTGATAAGTTGCGTTGGCTTGGGCACGTTCTACGCATGCCTGATCACCGCTTACCTAGGAGGGTCTTGTTTGGTCCACCAGGTGTAGGGCTGCGCAAAGTTCGAGGTGGACAGAAGTTCACTTGGCAGCGGGAAATGAAATCATTGAGGACCAAACTGAGTAACGGTGATCCGTCTCGCCTTCCGGGCTGGAGTCCACGTGACTCGCCTTGTGCTTGGCTCATGACTTTACACGACATGGCTCGCAACCGCCCCCAATGGCGCCTCTGCTGGAGTCTCCTAGTTGGGCTGCCAGTTTAAAGTGTGTTCTGTGCTGAGTTGTCCGTGGGGTAATGGCTGCTTAAGACGCGGGGCAGTGAAAGCCGCAAGGGAGCTGTCTCGCCGATGCCGCCTTATCTTTGCACGATAGCCAGCTGTTTGTGACGGTATGTTGTCTACACAAGGTGTAGGCGCCTTGAACCAGAATGTTTGCTTAGGTCATTAAGGTTTTCAGGTAAGTCCCCCTTTTCTCCCTCTTATTATTATTATTATTATTTATTCCAATGGTTATAATGTTTGTATGGCAGCGAAACATCAGTTCAAATGGCTGAGGTACTGTTGTTAGTGATGATGTTGATGATGATGATGATTGTCACACGCTCAGGAGAGCACTGTTAGCTTTTTCATCCTTGCGGCAATTGTCAGCAGTGCGCATTCCATCCCACCCTGATAGGGCTCGAACCCGCAACTCGGCTGTTACCAGTCTGTGTTTGAGACTACTGAGCCACGGGGATGGTAACGGCCATCAAGAATAAGTTACTAGATGTGATAGAGCTCCGCTCACTATCCAGTGATTTGCACATTACTGTCGAGCAGAGTACTGAGTAGCCCCTCACCAAGCGACGAAGTTACCAAACTTCAGTCGCCAACTAATTCATGGCATTGTACGCAGTTTGGTCTGCGTACTGCTTACCGAAGAATAGCAGGGGGATTTGGATGGAAAGGTAGAAATTCGTGAGATGGAAGTGCTTTGCTAATTATTCCCGAAAGGATGAAACGGCCGTACAGAGATTTTCCGGACGTGTTATAGCTATATATGTGAGTCTAGATGTGACGAATCTCTACCTGTTTAAACATTACTCAATAATAGGTGGTTTCTCCATTTGATTGGTCGAAAGTGCGTAACAGTAGTATTTGTCAAACTGGTTGGCGTCCAGCGCATGACCAAAATTATCGTCAAAAGAATGCGCGTGTCCGATTTTTTCAGGTCCTTTGTAAACACAAAACCAAATATTTTCACTTACTGAGTCACACTACAGGCCTACAACAGTACAATCAAATGCCTTGAACTCTCTCAGCATTTCACGATTTCTTGCCTTCCCGGTGTGTCACGTGTGGTTCAGTTTACATAATGCTTTGTGTAATTTTTTATTTTTCTCATTTTTCTGTAGTGTTTTAAAGATGACGAAGACGTAACTCTCAGGCAAATGCATTTAGCCTCTTCTCCATGAACTACGTACTCAGAATTTGGTTCAATGTCAACTTTGCAGCTCTGCGAGAAGGGTTTGTTTCCCGAATATTCCACACGAACAGACATTCCATGTATCATTTCTATGGCTGCTTTAATCGCATCAAATACATCTATCCTCATTACAGACCAATGTTCCTCCTTCACATTTGTATGAAGTAACTAAGGTACTGGATGTTGCAATGTCATACCTTGACGTCCCGGAGACCACAGCTCTAGCCAGTATCGCGTTTGACAAGTTTTAATAAACCGCATCGAATATTGCGACCACGTTACTGTCAGTCGTGCAGGTGCTTGTAGATCTATTTGTATTCCTCACTGAGAGTGGGTTTTTGGTAGATGTAGTGTCTACGCAACACAAAGGTTAAGTACAATCTTACGACGGGAGACCTGTATCCTCGTATGTGCACATGAAATAAAATAGGGACGATAGTTCTCGTCTAACCACTAGCCCTGATTGTGCCGGTTTCTTGAAATCTAACAAGCAGAAGCACCTTTCACAGTTGTGCCTATGCTGAAGTTAACCAAGGTAGCGTTAGCACACGTCCTTAAGTGTGAGGACCAAGGTCGAGTCGGTGTGATGCTGAGAATCTTCGTGTAATATTGTTAGGGTTAGAACCAAAATCTAACCCGAATAAGATCCAGGGGTTTGGATACTCGATGCCAGATTGTGCCACAGAAGTATGTCCGAACTTGTTACTTGCAATCAGAACACGGAACCAAGCATGTTTCAATTTGTGTGCGCCAAGTGACTGCATGTGAATTACACAGAGTTGGCATGTTTTTCACCAAAAACCAGAACAGTGTGTTTTTTTATGCAACAGAACATTGTTATTGTCCCTTGGCTCACACAACATTCAACACTTGTGAAAAAACACACCTCCTACAAAATTGAACATGTTTCGACTATTACGGACACGCGTAGTTTGTGCTATTGGCATTTTTGGCCCCTGGGGTTTTGTGTACTCAATACACATACTACTTTCCGGTGTCGCGTGTTCTCTCAACATCTTGGCCTCTCAGTCAGGAGTCGGTGTGAACCATCGCGATTAGGTCTCTCTGGTGCGACCACATCAAATATGGTTGCCAGTCATGCATGCGACTTGAATTGGTGAAGAAAAGAGGCGTCGATCCAAGATTGCAGATCTACAGGGGAAGCAGCCTAGTTGGCAAGTTTGGCCAAAGCCCCTTCTGTGGATTGTAAGTGACCTTGGCATTTTCAAATTTCGATCCACTAATTATGTACCCACAGTGGTTAGATCGGTTGATGAACTATCAGAAAACCGAATAAAACCCGAGTTTGCTAGGAGGTAGCGGTATGCAACCAAGACGGTCATGTATACCCTCTGTATCGTACATGCTTTCGGGGAAGTGCAGCAGAAACCCTCGGTGTCGAAAATCAACGAGAGAGGGGAAGTTCCCAAGAGTCGGAATCCCAATCGATAGCTTGTTTTGGGTTAAAAATGTAAATTATGAGGAGATAAACCTAATTTCAAGCGAAAAGATGTTTTACTTATTGTTCGTTCTTAAGAAGAGTTGCAATTCACCACCGACATTGGACATGCTCAATCTGCGTAGTTGCGCAAACCGTCCAGTTTTTCATGAAACGCTTTTGTAAATTTTCATTGCGTTACCGCTCACCTGAGATCGCATCTCCGCAATGGCGTGAATCCTGTCCACTTTCTTATAACTCTCTTAACACAACTAGTAACAGTTTCATTTGTTATTTTTCCATCAATCCTGAAACTTCAACTGTAGCATTTTATCCTAGCCTTGCCAAGTAGGTTAGCACTAGAACCGAAACATTTGCAGGGATCTAAATGTTATTTAGACAGACTGAAAAACTGCCACATCACGGGTAAAGATGGCCCAATGATCAATGCAATCATGTTACTGAATGGAGATGCAGTTATACAGAAAGTTGGAGGCAGCGACGTTTTTAAAGACCTCCAAGGAATTCTGCTAATACAATAATATAGACTGAGTGGTTGCGTCGACAGAGGAAGCACGGGATGGCGGCTTGCCGACGTGCCTGAGAGCGTTGAAACCAGAGCTACAATGCTAGCTTACAGACACAGCGCGAAGACGAGCAAACAGAGTTTGCGCTTCGACACAATTGCTGTAGCTGTTTAGGGTTTTAATACCGCCCCTTATTCTTGAGGATCACAAGCCTAGCTTGTAATCCTGAGGTCGCGGTTTCGATCCTGCCTAGGAAACCGGGCGGCCCTCGCAACCTCCTTAGCCCACGAGCGACTAGTGGTGTTTGCACGGCAGCTAATCGTCGGCACTACATAACGGCGTACTGCTGATGCTTTTTAAAATTTTCATAGCTGATCGATGAATGAAACAAACACACTAGATTCGTTTCTCACATATGAGCGTTGAACCTGTTCCATTATGCTTGCCGGCTTCTACACGAGGACACATGCTATCCTAAATTGAATCATTCCATATTTCATATTCCAGGGCACGCAACTTTTATCGCGAGCAGCTTTCACAAAACTTACTAGAGAAATGGAATCTATTCCAGACGACGGGATACTTGTGGGACGTATGTGTACCCAGGTTCATCTAATGTAATGTGAGCCGAGTCCCAATTAATTGTACCTCCCATCTGCTTGCCTCGGGCTCATTAATTTGCACATATGCTACATTTGGAGTCCGTAGATGGGGTTGGGGTTAGTGTAGTGCAAGTCACCTTCGTTCACACTCTGTAGGTGCTGGCGCGTTGTGCTGCTAACAGTTGCAGTGGCAAGTAAATCTGCAAACGAATGCCTCCTACCTTTCGCAATAGTTTAAGGAAAAGACACCGTGCCACATAAAACTGCGAAAATTATAGTAAGCTTGTAGCTGTTATTGTCATAAAGATGGAAAGGGCATATTCTTTGCTATCGCACAAGCCGCTACGATTTATCATTTTCGGTAGTTAGAAACTAAAGCATTAAATGAACAAACCTTCCACTGATTTAAGTTGTGCTTCATATCTTCCGGCGTTCAAAGCCATCGAAACTGCTGTTTCATTAGTCCGTCACCAGGCAAACTAAGAATCCAACGACGGCTAGACTTGAAGTCAACGATTCGATATATTGTCGGGAAGTGATAGGATAAACATCATGTGGTAGCGTCTTTCGCACAATATATACAGCACGATTGGGTGAACACCTGACAGAGAAAGCAGAACATTACCGAACCATATTAGTTAGTACAGTAAGACCGTGTTTGACACGGTGTTCATCAGTGCAGAGATTCCCCCCTAATCATGCATTGTCGGTTACCTGAAGCCGGCACATCTCATCCACACCAATTAGCGGATAACTCACTTTCATTCAGAAACATTCGTTAGACGAAGGTACTGTAAACCTGGTCCTTAACTAACAAGGAAATTCCCTGACGACACTGTAATTTTTCGTATTCACAGAGACTAAACGGGCATTTGTGATGTAACACAAAGCTTCGTTGCTAATGGCATCACCAGCAGACACGCAGCTCTCCAGTTACCTAAATCTACTCATTCGTTGAAGCTAACTACAAGATTAATCACAGGACCGAGTGAATTCCATTCCTGTGGTAGAATTTTAGTATTCAAAGGGGCGATCAACATCCGGTAATTGCATCCCTCAATCGTCAGGCGGTTTAAAATGCGCTATACGCTGTGGATCATCACCCAATAATTAGCTTGTCATCTGTTATCGTAACTCTGTCAAGCGTGTACCCACGACAGGATTCAAAACATTTACTCGAAGCTCTACAGTACTGTCAATGGAACGCATTTGACGTCACAATTGCAGAACAACGGGAACTTAGAATGGCCCTGTGGTACACTGTAAAATATTTAACTGTGAGAAAAGCAAGGGGTGCACTGTCGCTCGGGTAAACATAAAGTAGGATGGTAATATACTTTACTTTGACCGAACGACAGAGAATCTAGACAGTCGAGTCAAACACAGCCCAGATATCAAGAATGGAGTGACAGTAGGTATTCAGCAGATGAAACAGGGTTAAGAAAGCTGAAAAAATCCGCGATGTGATCCATGTGTCCACTGCCGTGCCTATACCCTGAGTTAGGACTTGGAGATAGGCTGCGGGATGAAATGGGCGCCAGCCGTTTGAAAGCAAAATGGCAAAATAACTGTCAGACCCAAGAAGAATGCACTGTTTCTTCACGACAAATTTATGGAATACATAGTTTTCTGCCTGCTGATTGCTACGTCTCAATTTTGGAGAGCTCCGGAGAACACAAACCTGTACCAGTAGCCATAAATAACTTCAAGTGTCCAACCTTTAGGCAGAATTTCGCTTCGCTTGATGATCGGGTGACAACATCTAGGTCAGAAAGCCAGATATGATAAGCACACAAGCAGACGGTGAGGACCAGCTGAATTAAGGATAGCTGTGCTCGGCTCATCGATCCAGTCGTCTGCACCAATTGGCCAACTGTGATCCATTCGCTTCGTAAACTCCCGCTGTCACCGAGCTGCCTATGGTTGGCGGAACGGATAGGCTGATTCTGTGAGTAGTAACAGAGTGGACAGTAATCCACATTACTGGAGAACGTTGATACCAGCTCACGTCGTGGTTACTGTGCAATTTTTTTGAGCTGCCATTTACCAGCCCTTGGCAGTTCCTTTTAGTCGGTGCGTGCATAGTGGAATTATTTCCGATTTTTAGAAGCCAGTCAGGATAACGTCCGTGTCAAGGAACTGCTTCATAAAATTCTGTCCGATCGCCTGCATGTCCATCATGCTGAAACCCTTTAAGTGACTAATTGTGCCTTGGATTTCAGCAAGCACTGGTGCCCTGGACGTATCTCAGTTTGCGTACGAACCCTGAGGTTCTACGTTGGAAGCCGTAGCAGACTTTGTTACCTAATGCTACCTTCAATGGATGCGCAACACAAGCATGTACAGCTCCACTTGCTTAATCACACCAGCGCTCTCGGTAGTACCAGCAGGCAAATCTTGCTTTATCATCCGTCTGCGAATGGTATCCAAACAGCAGTGTGTAACCAGATGAGCAACTACTTTCTGACTCGCTCTTATTTCACTCGGTTAAACGGTCAAAAAACACTCCACAATGATTGGGACTTTCTGCAGGAAGCAAACCTCGCCATTCTTCTATTCCTTTTATAC